CAATATGGCCGCCGTGTCTTTTGTGATATCATCCAACATGGCCGCTATGTCTTTTGTGATATCATCCAATATGGCCGCCATGTCTTTTGTGATATCATCCAACATGGCCGCCGTGTCTTTTGTGATATCATCCAACATGGCCGCTATGTCTTTTGTGATAACATCCAATATGGCCGCCATGTCTTTTGTGATATCATCCAACATGGCCGCCATGTCTTTTGTGATATCATCCAACATGGCCGCCGTGTCTTTTGTGATATCATCCAACATGGCCGCCATGTCTTTTGTTATATCAACCAACATGTGAATTCATTCTCTTGGGAATGACTGGAAACCAGTCAGAAGATGATACTAAAGGGTTTTTATAATTGAAATGTTATTTTTTGATTTTGATTTTTCCATCGCGCCATAAACAATTTTGTTTCGAAATGGTAGTGCCTTGTATCTCGTATGATTTTAGTGTAACAGGTATTTGTAGTCTAGGAAATCTTATTATGCAAAATTGTTTATTTGAACTTATTAGAAAAGGTCTAATGTTTCCCCATTTCAGATCACCGATAAATTCAATAGGCCTATGACAGTGTTTGTTTGTTTTTATACATTGAATTTTATTTTATCCATTTTGTGTGTGGCAAGTACACGTCAGAGCTGTACGTCACAAAAACAAACATTCCACGAGTCAACATGAAAGTTCTTAAAAATATCAATATTTCCATACCTTACCGTTTGCAACCAGAATGTATCTTTGAAGAGCGTGCAGTTTTCTTGGGCCTTTGGGAGTAGTAACCATGGTAAAGTATATTTACTGAACCATGGATGACAGTAACCTTGACCACAGTAACCTCGACAACAGTAACCTTGACAACAGTAACCTTGACGATAGTGACCATGGTGTTTCAGGACGTTAATTTCCTTGAATGCTTTATTGAAGCAAAGGATGTTGATGTTCAAAGCCTCTAGAACCTCAGGAAAGGAAATTGAAATAAAATATCTTAATATCTTGCTGATGTTAATTGAGCAATTAGAATCAAAAATGCTCGTTTTTGGGGTCCTATATCGCTTGTCCTGCGGTAAACGTCTTTTGAAATAGGTTTATAAATATATCTAATAATATTTTTGGTATAGTTTCGGTACAAACATCTTCTCATCGTGCCTTGTATGGTGTTGTTGTACCCAAGCTAGACCAGAATGCCTTTTGTTTACCGAGCTTAGAAAAGATTAAATTTATACCAATATATACACACAACATGAATTTTTAGTGTTTATCATATAAAAAACTAGAAAACAATTGAAAGCATTTGATTAACCCAGCATTAATTTTTGTGCCGTTTTATTTTTAGATTGCCCATGATGGGACCTCTCTGGGTAGCTATTGCCCTATTGGCTACACAAGTCACGTGTTCTCTAGCAGCATGTGACCTTTCTTCTCCACTCAACTCCACTGAAGCATCCGAGCTGTTACGCAACTACACCGACCAAATAAGAAGCAATGCTGTTGGTAACACCAGTTTCAGTGGCGTGACAGTGTTGCAGCTTGTCGAGTTTGCACTCAACACAACTGGCAATACTACTCTTACACAGGCCAAGCTGAATTGGGATGACACTTGCTTGGATGCCTTTAAGTTCACCCTGAGTCAAGTGGCTATGATAAATGGCAAAGAGCTCGATAACTTTCCTGGAAACGCAACCATGGATGACGTTCGTGTGCTTCTCACTTCTAATGCCACCAAAGCCGTTGTACAAGATGTTGGCCATGTGCTAATTACCCTAAGAAACCGGAATGTCAGTCTCGACAGAAATTTGGATTTYTTTATTCAAGACGTCGGTTTTGTGATCAGAAAATCGAGTTTCCTATCTATATTATCTTACTCTTTGAAATCCAGTGATCGCAAAAGTACTGTTTCACTCCTAGGCTACGATGAAAGGCTTGAAAACGCTACTCTTGGGCAAGTAGCCGAATATCTGCTCATTACCCCAGAGGAGCTGCAAAAGAGCCTCACTCTAGAGTATGTTGTACGATATCTTCGATCATCTCGGACCTTTTTTCACATGCTCTTGGAATTTGTGAAGGAAGAAAGGGATAGATTGGCCGAGAAGACAGTGTGGTACTTGGTCAACAGCAATGAAGATACCAATATACTTACTACGCTGAAAGGAATCTACCAAGGAAACAACTTGACTTTTATCCAGTTTTTCTGGGAACGAAGAGTTGAGCTGAGGTACATGAATTATACAGTCGCCGAGCTTGCAGCTTCAACAGACGTTCAAAGGGCAGTCATCAAGAACTATACTATACTAGAGACGTTTGAGTTCCTGTATAAATATACTGAGCTTAATCTGGTGTACAAGGAGAGTATCGCAGCCAGCAAGAACATACGAGAGAAGATCCTGCAACATTACCAAATAGCCAACATGTCAATCTTGGAAGACACATTCAATGTAACAACGTCTTATCTTCACCTACTCACAGACTTTGAATTTGAAAACTACGCTATCAAGTACTACATCCATCGCTACGCCAGGTTGCATTTGAATATTACTTATGGAGAACTCGAAACGTTTGCAAAACTTGAACCAGGATCATTGAAAAATGCAAGCGTCGAAGATTTCGCTCAACTGATGTCCCAAATCGGAGTGGCTTATGCAGTCAAGGCCCTGCACGAATCAGGATTCTTTAAGTACTTGCTCAACAATCATTCTRCCCTTGAGATCCACATGCTGCTACTCAAACAACAGATCGAGAAAGACAGGCAGCCACTAACCAAGAACTACCGAGTACTSTATCAGGAATTTGAGGTTTCTTATCTTATCTATCTGTATCGTCTAGATACTACCGTCTTTTACGAACGAACCGTCTTCAACTTCACTGAAACWTTAAAACTTAATTGGCATACGTTTCTAGTTTTGTTCGATCTCAACAATACARGCCTTGAAGAGGTCAAACTGCTGTTCAAGACATACTCCTTCAAACAGCTTTCCATATTTTTTGGCATTAAAGAGTACACTATCTTTAACTGGAATTTTTTGAAGATCATCAACAGATTACTATACTTAAASAGGAACCGTAAGTAAATTCTTAATAATGGATATACGAGCTGACCAATAGAGGGCTTTGCACCATTACGTGATGGCAGCCATGACAGGAGGCGGGAACAATTGAATCTTGTCTAATCTGATTTACATGAGAAAGAATTCAGTTTCCCAGGGGAAAAATGCTCTATTGTTGTGCCTCCTGACATGACTGCCATCATGTGATGGTGCAAAGCCTCTATTGATATTTTTAAAACTTACAGTACGGGCGGATCCGGATCCATTTCATGGTCCTTGGGTCGGGGGAGTAGGGGAGTAGGGAAGGATATATGGCAGTTACCTACAAAAGCATCAAATAGTCAAGTTGCGCTCATGGGCCCTCCACTGTTTAGAGGTTCTGCGTACACTAGTGGTCAATGGGCTGTCTGTCTTTCTAAGATAGCCCGAGCTTAGCAACGTCAGTCAARCAACTGTTTTTACTTCACATTGTTAAACTGGCTTGGTTAAATTAGCAGTGGCGTATCCGATATATTGTAGTGGGAATCGAAGATGGCTGCGTCCACCCCTCCCGATCCACCCTTTCAAAAGAAAGTGATCAAAGCATTGATAACCGTTATCTTTGCAGCCTCTCGRATGCTATCCGCCACTGTTCTTTCCCGTCCTTCATGTTTTACGCCTATTATATTTTAGCCAAAAAATTTCAAGGCACAAAAATTTTGTTCAGTCTCAAATTGCCCATTTCAGTTCTCCGACCGACGTTTTTAACTCGTGGATACGCGAAGCGTAGAAACGAGTTATTGTTTGAAATAGGTTAGTTGACCTAGTTTACGTATTTTTGGGTTTGCTTATTGAGTTTTTCGATGCAGGAATTGACGAATGTTCTCTGGGTAGGCACTCTTGTGCAAGACGTTCTCAGTGCAAAAACTATATTATTGGTGGCTATA